GAAGAGCCCCCGCCCAGCGAGTGCTGGAGACGAAGCGCAAGCGGGAGGAAACCGCTAAGTGAGTGCTGGAGACGAAGCGCTAGCGGGAGGAAACCGCCAAGTGAGTGCTGGAGACGAAGCGCAAGCGGGAGGAAACCGCTAAGTGAGTGCTGGAGATGAAGCGTAAGCGGGAAGGAAAACCGCCCAAGTGAGTGCTGGAGACGAAGCGCAAGCGGGAGGAAACCGCTAAGTGAGTGCTGGAGACGAAGCGCAAGCGGGAGGGGAGAGCCCAGCGAGTGCTGGAGACGAAGCGCAAGCGGGAGGAAACCGCTAAGTGAGTGCTGGAGACGAAGACTGGAGCCAAGCGGGAGGGGAGAGCCCAGCGAGTGCTGGAGACGAAGCGCAAGCGGGGAGGAAACCGCTAAGTGAGTGCGGAGACGAAGCGGCAAGCGGGAGGTGGAGAGCCGCAGGCGAGTGCTGGAGACTAGAAGCGCAATCGCGGGAGGAAACCGCTTAAGTGTAGTGGCTGAGGACGAGAGCAAGCGGGAGGGGAGGAGCCCAGCGAGTGCTGGAGACGAAGCTAAAGCCGGGAGGAAAACTGCTAAGTGAGTGCTGGAGACGAAGAGCAAGCGGGAGGGGAGAGCACAGCGAGTGCTGGAGACGAGGCTTGCGCGGCAGGAGAAGTAAGAACTTAGGTAGAGAGCGACGATTTACTCCCCCCCTCAACAATTCAAGGGGAGATAGAACGCCATGGGAAAGATGAAGTTGATGAATGTTAAACCTACAATACATGCAGCACGTTTATTGCACATGTATTAGTTCTCTTTGTCTCAGTCATCGTTTCATCATTGTAGTGACTAGTTACGAGGTAAAGCGGTCATGAAACAAAGCATACAATGAGGATATAGACGAGGGACGCGTATATTGTAGTGATAAGGACTACATTACTACACGTGTGTGTTACGAGGTAAAGCGGTCATGAAACAACGCATACAATGAGGATATAGACGAGGGACGCGTATATTGTAGTGATAAGGACTACATTACTACACGTGTGTGTTACGAGGTAAAGCGGTCATGAAACAACGCATACAATGAGGATATAGACGAGGGACGCGTATATTGTAGTGATAAGGACTACATTACTACACGTGTGTGTTACGAGGTAAAGCGGTCATGAAACAAAGACGCGAGTAGACATGCTGGAATAAATTCACGCTCTTCGATATATTTGTGTGTTTGATTTATTTGTGTTCATGACGAACACAACCACACACAACATTCGTCTTCTTCGTCTTAGGACTCAACGTTTCTTCCTTACGAATCCCCTCTGGACAAGTTTGACGCCGTTCCTCAGACAGTGATGGGGCCCGACGAAGTTCCAGTGATCTTCAAAGTCGGAACCTCAGCCTGTTTCTTTAATCCCAAAGCTAGCCATTATGTCTAGCTTGTCGTCGTTTGACCAGAAGGTCGATCTGGAAGACAACTTCCAAAAGTTGTTTGCATTTAAGTACACAGCTGCCTTGTCTACGTCATTGGAGCTAGTTTGTAATTAGTTTGTAATTGGAGCGAGTTTGTAATCGCTTCTCAGCTCATCCATTCGACGAGGCTACATACTACCCGCCGAGTTCTCTCTCCCTCATTCGATTCCCTAAACGAACTGCAATACAAGTTCTCCCTCAACCGACACCGGAGGCGAACTAACTGCGTACCGTATCTTCACACGGCCCTACACCAGCTGTTTACACGGCCCGCGCCACTCACGGCCGCTAGAGGGTGCCTCTTTATCAGCCTTATCAAAGAGCTAGCTAGCTGCTTCGACTGGAGAAAGATCTAAATTAAAGAGGACACAATCATGTTCACTAATACCAGGTACCACAGATATAGATGAAACCAAATTGGGGAAATTAGTAAATACTAAATCAAGAATGTTGCTACAAGTTTCAGTACATCGAATAGGCTGAGTGACAAGTTCAGTCAGGGAATGATTAGTACACAAATCGAGCAGTTGACTACATAAATGAGTATCTCGTTGGCCAGTCACTGAATAGAACTGCCAATCAATTCCAGGCAAATTAAAGTCACCACAAATGAGTGTAAGTGGATAAGACTCATTATGATGAGAGAAGGCGTTCACAGAATTAGCGATTCCAGTGAGTTGATCAAGAGGGGGCCTATACCCAATCATAGAGTATAAGGGCTTAGAATTCACCGAA